GATGCTCTACATGATCTTCCTCATTCTTAGAGTAAACCAGGATGTCATCAATAAACACAACCACGAACTTGTCGAGTCCGAGCATGAATACCGAATTCATCAAATACATGAAGTATGCAGGAGCATTTGTTAGACCAAAAGACATGACAAGATACTCATACAAGCCATATCTGGTTAAAAAAGTTGTTTTAGGTATATCCTCTGGCCTAATTTTAATCTGATGATAGCCTGATCTCAAAACAATCTTGGAGAACACCTTTGCCCTTGCCAACTAATCAAACAAGATATCGATACGTGGTAAAGGGTACTTGTTCTTAATCGTTACGGCATTGAGTGGCCTATAATCCACACACATCCATAATGACTTGTCATTTTTCTTTACAAACAAAGCTGGCAACCCCATGGGGATGAACTAGGTCGAATAAGTCCCATTTCTAAAAGCTCTTGTAACTGAATCTTGAGTTTGGCCAGCTCATTTGGTGGCATCCTATAAGGTCGTCTAGAGATAGGTGCCATACTAGGCACTAGCTCAATTTTAAACTCCACATCTCTATCTGGTGGCAAACCGGGTAACTCATCTAGAAATACATCTAGAAACTCACATACCACTAGAATATCAAAGAGAGTCATGGTCTGGATAGCACAAGATAAGTTTTGAAGGTCAAAACTCCTAGGAAGTGGCACTAGAAAAGCACTATCCCCCTTTGGTTTCCTCAACATAATGATTCTAGTTGAAGTGTCAATAAGAACACCATGACCACTCATCCAGTTCATACCAAGATCACATCTATTCCTAATCCTAGCAACACTATGAGATCCATAGTATACCCCCTCTCTTTTATGGAGATGAGCACATCTCTAACTATCTGGTTGGTAGAGATAGTAGCCCCAGCTGAACTTATGCAATAACCACCCTTTTCTACAACAATTATCTTCTGATCATGCTTAGATGCCAATGCCTGACTCATGAATGAATGCGAAGCTCTAGAATCAAACAAAACAATTGCAAGGTGTTGGTTCACAAGAAACAAACTAGCAGTAACAACCTGTCTAGCAAGAATTTCTTCCACGATAGTGTAATGAACATGCCTTGGGCGTGTTTTAGCATTTGCCTGCCACTACACCACAACCCACCTTTCCCTACAATTATGTGTTGGTAAATCAAGGGTTTTGGCAACACATAATGTGTTGGCAATTCTTTACCTTTTTAGCGTCACTTAAACTATCGGCAATAGTAATGTAAGGCTACAAGTTATATGTTGGTGTTTCTCCTTCCAACACATAAAGTGTCGGTGAAAGTTTTTAGACAAAAAAGTGTCGTTGTAGCCTACCTAAGCCACTGTCCAAGTGTTGGCGATGGGTAGGTGCCGAAACAAAAATAGAGATGCCTATGTGTGTGGGAGACAAATACCAAAACCTCTTTTTTATCAGAAAAAGGCTAAGCCACTAAAACAGGAGGCCCACCCTTCATTCTCCACTCATGCAGACTTTAGAAAAAAAAAAAACCTCGCTAGCTAGCAGGCTCACTCACAGGCGCCTCCAGAGCCGGTGTGTCGAGGCTAGCACCAGCGTGGTGTGCCGCCTGACGCCCGCCCAAATCACCACCTCCCAATCCCGCCGGCGCCGAAGTCGTCCCTAGCCGGAGCCCCGCAGCCTACAGCCCTAGCCCCCGCCGCTGAATCTAACGGACGCCGTCGCCCCAGCCCCCAGTCGCCCTAGCCTACCGCCGCCCAAGCCTGCCACCCCCAAGCCCACCGTCGCCCTAGCCCACCACTGGCTAGCAAGAGCGGTGCCTCCCCATTCCTCTCCGCATCTAGGTGCGTCATCTCTGCATCCCCGTCCTCTCATGCCCATTCCCCTGAGTGCTAGGGTTTCGGCACAACTTAATTTCTTGTATTTTTTTCTTGGTTGCAGAAAGGAGTAGATGAAGGTGAGAAAGGCTAGAAAGATTCAAGGTTTGGGTTATTTCTCCTGCCAAACTTTCATTCAGTCTAGATCCGCCTTCTCTTCCACTCTTTGGAGAAGGCTCGATTTAGATGTGATCTTGTGAAGGTTGTGATCTTGATGCCACTTGCAATGCTAGATATTATGATTGTTTATCTGGTTCCTAATTTCTAGAAGCTCTCTAATTTCCCATATAGCTGAAGAAAAAAATATTGTTTATCTGGTCTCTGCATCGTGATTGAATCAGGTCTGCTATTAGTACAGGTCTGTTCATGTACTAGGAAACTAAAGTAGGACATCAACTAATAATAGTCGTAGTGTTTGGAGGAGTAGTGCTAGTTCTACCCCTACTCCAGAAAGCTCTGTATGAGAGGAGAGGAAGCTGTGAGTTACTAAGGAAGAACAGAGCATGCTCCTTGGCATGAAGGCCATGACGACATGCATCTTTGCACAGACATGTACAAAATATGGCTAATAATTTAGAAAGATGCATGTGTGTATGTACATAGTGTGTCTACATTATTTTCCTACATATGAATCAAACACATTAGGGCTAGCTCTTGGAGTGGTAGTGGAGATACTATTGAAGTGTTAATAATCTGATATTTGTGCCTGAAATGATATATGAGATCATTGACTGAACTATGTATTTGACATGCATTCAATCATTCTTATACCTGAATTTCAGGATGCTGCCTATGCCTGCCAATAGGTTAGGTGCCTAGAAAAAGTTCACCGTTAGTGTTACTAAAACTAAAGCTCTTTTGGTTGCTATCTCCCCTGTTTTAGAGAATTCAGCGCATACTAGCTAAATAAGTATGCTCTGTGGATCTACTGTTGCCCAACCTTGAGAAGTGCTCTTTGGAAAGGTTCTCATAGTTCACCTTTCACCTACATCTCTTGCCTAGTTTAGACTTACATCCATCTTTTGCCTATATTCTTTGCTATAAAATTCATCAAGTTGAATGAGTGATAATTTTTTTAGGGGTGATCTAAGAATCTTTGGAGGAAATGTGATGCACCAGCACCAACAATGATTGAATTTGAGGGGTTTATCTAAGGAGCTGTTTGCCAATGATCTGTTTGTCATGCACCATCAGCAACATTGATTGGATTTGAGGAACAACAGAACTCTGAAACAGTAGTAAGTATCCACTTTCTATATTGACAGCTTTGGAATTGCAGTTGTGTGTTAGGACATTGACTCGTATATGTCTATTTAGTAGGCTGCACCCTACATTCTTATTCTGGTGAAAATCAGCAATTATATTTGGTGTAGATATCATATGTTTATTAAGACTGTTATAAGATATTTACTAGAATAGACTCAATTTTTTTCATAGTCATATCTGTGTGATAATTGTGTGAATTTGTGGTGAAACTAAAATAGTGAATCAACTAGTCAAGCCCTTAGCTAATCATTGAATGTTTAGTTTTGTCCCTTTTGCTTGATTTGCAAGTGCAGCATGTGTTCTATCACCTCCTCTTTGCCCATACTCTACTCATCTATGCAATTGTATACTAATTTGTATACCACTTCTTTCTTACTGCAACATAATATCTCCCATAAATTTCAGGCCCTGCTTGCTTCTTCTAATACTTTCTGCTACATAACTCTGTCTTAGCTTGTTGTCGAGTCAAACAAAAATATACGTTTGTATAATCAAAGAGCTATTAAGGCCATAGACCATAGACCCTAAATGCTTGTAGCTGCGGTGAACATTAGATACAGATTTTGTATGGGATGATAGTAGAGCAATACTCCGTAGCTAATGTGCAATGTGCCCATACTAACTTGTATACCAGCATGATTCAGAACTACAGATGTGTAATGTGCAGGGAGTGTGCTAGCAATTCTAATTGGGGTATAAAAAGTTAGTACACCAGTTCATGCATGCTTCTTTTTCTAAATTGGTTTCATTGCTTGTTTGTGATCATTACTGTTAGGACAAGTACATTTTCAACCTTTTAACTATGCTCGTGGTTAGTGTAGAAATATTAAAACCTCCCCTCAGTTTTTCTTACTTTTTTGTACTCTATAATAACTACTCTATAAACTAGGAGTACAGGCATCCGGTCACCATTCTAGAGGATTTAGATATGATTTAAGTTCATCTTATATAGATAATACACCTCTTTCAGTTAGATTTATGTGAAGCAACTCATGGGACACATTTTAAATTAACTTATGCACCAACATTAGTCTTGCCAATATTTTTTTTCCAATTCATACAAAGACCTATATGTATTAGGGATGAAAATAAGACAGATATTTCTCAACATCTGGTATCCATCTAAAATATGTCACATTACAGTTGATAATATTTTTGGCTTAAAGCATCTGCAGATAAGTAGGAATTGTTGCTTAGAATTACTCAATGACAAATATGTGTACCTTAAGCTTAGATTCCTTGTTATTTCAGGTCAAACAGTTTTTTACATTTATAGGATCCAGACAAGAAAGCAATCTTCACTAACTGATGTTGAAACTCCAAGAGCTGTTTGCTTCTAGCTCAGCCATCCATTTTGTAATTCTCTTGGTTGTCCTACTTCTTTTGCAACAGAATTGCTCTCCATTCCTTAGTGTTGTGTCAACTCACCATCCTAGCCTCTTTGAACTTGCTAACAGCTTCTCCAGCTCGCCCATTGCAAGATCACATGATTCGATGTCCCTGGTATGACAAAGAATTCTGCAAACTAAGGAATAACCATGTATGTGTTGCTTAGATATATTCTATGTTTCTCTACTTATATATGTAGTTAATTTTATTATCCACTGCTATTAGTTCCCAAGTTTTCATCACATTATCATCAGCGAGGGCTCTCTGTTCTGATTTACTCCCTCTGTGCAAATAAGGAGGGCCCCAAATGTGTTTTACTTTTCGAAGTATGTCAATTATTGTTCTTTAATTGAAAACAATGTGAGAGCAGGAGCAATTTTGCACATTTGGAATGCATTATGGGCCTATTTGAGCCATGCGTGATATACTTATTTGTTTAGCAAGCTTTTCAGTAGGTAATGGCACTCTTATCTTACAAGGCTTCTGTGTTTCCAGGTGATAGTGAGCATAGTTGGTCTTCTTCTATTTGGGAAGGTGTTGGAGTCTTTATGGGGAGCTAAGGAGTTGCTCAAGTTTATTTTTATTGTTAATCTCTCAACTTCAGCTTGTGTCTTCGTAACTACTATTGTGCTATACTACATAACACAGGAGGAGAGCTACCTGTAAGTGTCACATTTCATTAATTACTAATCCCTCCATCCTAAAATATAAGGAATCGAATCAATTTATAGACAAATAAGGAGTCTGACAAAATACCGCATTACCCTTCACTAATTAGGAGAGAATGAGTAGTTTGGTTATTGCTTTCCTAGTTTAAAGGGAATCTTTACATGTTATTATTTCCTATCATGAATTAGAGAGGAAAGGTAAGGTGTACTTAGAAGGAAAGGGGTGTTCGGTTAATAAAGATAGAGCACAGAGAGGAGCTGAGGACCTAGAATACCTTATATTTTGGTAAAATTTTTGAAATCTCAATTCCTTATATTTCAAGACAGAGGGAGTAGCTTGCTAGTCAAATAGTTTTTTTATCCGATTTACATGGGCACTTTGTTGGGAGATGCAGCAACATGATGTTTTTTGATTCTTTTCAATAGTGGATATTCATGATTTCAGTTCATAATGATTTTCTCGACCTAGTTATACTTTACCATGAAAATTGACATTACATCTATTTGATTCTGCAGCTACACACCTGTTTCTAGGTTTTGTGGAGTTCTTTCAGGACTACTGGTGGGCATCAAGCAAATTTTACCTGATCAGGAGCTTAATCTTTTTGTGCTCAAGATTAGTGCAAAGGTGTTTGATCACTTCTGTAATGAAATTTGTCTAATTGTGCAATCAATTTTGATTATCTCCCAAGGTTTCCTAACATTTTTTTTCTGTTTATTCAGTGGATTCCATCTATCGTTGCATTTATCTCTGTTGCCGTAAGCTTCTTCATAAAGGAATCGATGTCATACCTTCCCATCATATTATTTGGCATCTACATGAGCTGGATTTACCTGCATTACTTCCAAAGGAGATTAGAAGTAGGCCTTAAGGGGGACCCAAGTGATGAATTCTCATTTTCAAGCTTCTTCCCTGGATTTTTAAGGTACTATTTTTCACAAGTGATCTTGGTGTAAAGCAGTGGGAAATGTAATGCAATAATTCTACGATGTGTGAATCCCTAATTTAAGATGTTAGAAGAAAATTTTGGATTACCATTGCAATTAAACATAACATCTAACTCTACCTTCGAAAGCATATATGAAGAGAAAGAGTTAGGAAACGGCTATAGAGATATCAGATATAGGTGCTCATCCAACCTTTTTTTCAATGCTAGAGGTGGCTCCTGGTCCCTAGTAATAACGCAGAACTCTAATGCTAACCAACCAACCATATCATTTTATGGATTCCTAGCTCTAAGGTTCTGCAGAAGAATTGTCCTTGGATTTTTTTTTTCTAAAAGTTATGATTGCTAAACACTTTATAAACAGTACAAGACTCAACAAATCTAGAAATAAATAGACCTAAACTTTGTTTTTTATTTCATAAACTTATTGAAATATTGCAGGCCAATTTTGGACCCTATTGCTTCCATATTCCACAAACTCTTCTGTGGGTGATCTACAAGACCTGAAGGCACAGGCCAGACATTGGATGGGTCACAGTTCCCTGGTTCGGGGTCCATTGAGGCAAACAGGAGGAGGTGCAAATTCCTTTTTTCTCATCATTTTAGCCATCCATCATTGAAACCATTTGCTTAGTAGAGCACATGCTCTTGGTTTCCTACCCGTTGAGCACCATCACGAAATGATTGCTACCCATTGATCAGTCTTGATGTTCTTATCTCGAGCATCTCATTTGATTTGATTATTGTCCGTTCCCTGCAGAGAATGGGGTCAGAGGGCACTAGAGCAGAGACTGGTGGAGAAGCTGGCCGCGGTCAGGAACGCGGAGGGCACGCCTTCGCCAAAGCAGCAGCTGAAGCAGCGGGAGGACACGGAGGATGATGCTTTTGATAAAGTCTGAACCCTTGTGTCAGAAGAGCTGGAGAGGAGATCTTCTGTCAAATTTTCCTTGTATTTTTGCGCGTGCCGTATGGAAGATCTAATATATTATTTATACAGAAATCAAGTGAATTTGTTCAATGTTATGCCTTCTATATGAGCAAAAGTGGGATTTGTCAAATTATTTTAATTGTAATTATATCTATGTAGTTTTGCCAACAGTTTTTTTTGGGTAGGGTATGGTTTGTAAAATACCTTGGAAATGGTTTGGCCAACATACAAACTGTCGGCGTAGGTCTTAACTGTTGGCAAAGGGTTAACTGTCGGCAAAGGTTTCAACTGTCGGCGTAGGTAGACCGTTTGCCTACACACAAAGTGTCGGGGATTCTGTTAACTGTCGGCAAAAGTTTCGCCGATGGCTTCTAGCGCGACTGTTTCTAAACTATCGGGAAAACTTTTCGTGGGAGGTTATCTGTCGGCAAAGGTGCCCTTTACCTACAATAGAAAGTGTCAGTAAAAGTATGTTGTGTTATAGTGTGCCTCTGATTGGCCTGGTTCTGATTGTTGCCTTTCTTAGGATACGGGCCCTCTCTTGACCAGTGACCAACCTGATTGTAGTTGAAGCATGACTAGTTGTTCCCCGACCCTCCTGAGCTTCCTTGTCCTGCATTTCCCTTGGGTAGAGCAATAGAGAAGGCCTTGTGATACACTTTCTATTGGTGATTGAGCTATGTCTTCTTCTTTAGCGGCCTAAACTTGGGTGTAGGTGGATGATACTGAGGCTTCATTACCATAGGAGCTTTCTACTAAGATGAACCTGCCTCAAAGGCTCGCTTATGGCCTTAGCTACAGCATGCAGACTATTGTGATTCTCTTGGGTAAGAGCATCACTGACAAACTCATTGTAGGTTGCACACCTAGAATTTGCCATGGTCTTCATCAGCTTGGTACCAAGTCCACGCTTGAAGCTCTCAATCTTCTTCTCCTCAGTGTTCACAAACTCCGGAGCATACCTTGACAAATTGTTGAAAGCATGCATATATGTAGTGAGGGTCTTGGTTCCCTAAGTGAGCTTCATGAACTCTACAGCCTTCATCCTCATAAGCCTAGGGGTTATGTGATGTCCCCTAAAGGCTGTCTTGAATGGATCCCAACTGACATTAGCACCAGCAGGTAAAGTGGACAAGTAGTGGATCCACGATATGCTTGCAGGTCCTTCCAGTTGGTGTGAGGCATACTCAGCCTTCATCTGATCTATGACCCTCAGGATGCGAAACTTCTGCTCAATTGTGTTTAACCACTCATCGGCTTGCAATGGTTCCTCTGTTCCTTGAAGATGGGTGGCTTTATGTCTAGAAAATCCTTGAATGTGTTGTACTAGTTAGGTTCCAGACCCTAATGCTGATGTCCCCCGCGTGTTCTATTCTGTGCGATGTTGCGCAGCATTTCCTCCATAGCACGCTGGTTCCCTAGAAACTAGGCCAGGAACTCCGTTGCCGAGGGTGGTAGTGGTGCGGGTGGATTGTTGTTACCATCCTGACCACCAGCAGACCCATGACCATGGGTGTGCGTCATCTGTGGAATTTCAACAAGTAATTATTGGATGATGCCGATAAATTGTAGAAGAATTTTATAATCATGCCAAACTGAATTCACTAGAGAGAATAAATTCATACAATAAAGTAGAGGCACAAGAATTCATTTCCACAACACAACATCACCAATTTTATTACTTAACATTCTCGCAACGCGTTCGCATACTTGCCAAATTGGTGCTAGCAAGACAGAACTGGACTTTTTCAATGTTCAACACCATCATGGACCAACCATACATGGTTCCAAGGTTACAACAAGATGGCATGGTGATGACAAGATTAACTTTATTTTACTGAGTAGGTGCATATCTGTAACAGAACTGTCCAATTTACCAGAGCACAAGTACAATGGTAGCCCGCAAGCGGTCGCACTATCATACTTGAGCCCATATAAACCCGGTAGTCCATCGAGTACCACGAAGGGTCTTGATTCATCACTTGCATACAACCAAGATCATACATGATTCAACATACATGCCACATGTTACATAGAGTTCACAAATACATTGCCATACATTAGAGTACGATTAAAGTTATTACAAACCAAGTTCAAATAAAGTAGTAGTGGAAGGAAAGTAGTTTTTAAACCAACAACTCACACCATTGTTCAAATAGTTGCTAGTCTATGATCACAACCCACAAAAGCATCATAGATTAGATATATAAATAGAATCGCCTTGCCCTGGCTTACTCCTCTTCCACAGCGAGATAGAAGCAATTCTTACAATAACCATGAAAGACCGTGTTATCTGCAACAAGTGGGAAATAAACCCTGAGTATTAGAAGGTGCTTAGCTAGACTTACCCATCATAAACCAAAAAGAAACCGACTCCAAGGATCATGCAAGGCTTTATACGTGGAGCTAGCTTGACAACATTTTGCATAAAAAGCCACTAATTTAGCTATACATATTATAATTTGGTCATCAAGTTAATTATAGCTATTCATCTCTAGATTAGCAACTAACCTATGCCAAACATGTGGTATATTAGTAGTGACAGAACAATAGTAACCATAGCAATTTATTATATCATTCTCAGAACCATTCCACTTGCCATTATCACTATGATATAAGGAAGCTCAGTCAGGTTTCTCACTATCTGGGAGAGATGGAGATTCAAATCAATTGCAACTAGCTGAGCAATATTCCCAACACAAACCTAGGTAGACCAGATCAACGGTCACCTTAGGTCACCTTTGGTACAACTCAGGTCCAATTCACGGGTTCGATCAGCGCCGCACAATCAGGGACACTACCGGATGCCAAGTTGATCAGGACTCTAACCAGCCCTTAGCCTCACACCGGCTCCCCACACAACCTTACTACCTCCATTTTGCGCACTCTAACAGAATGAGGCCCGACCTGAGTTGAGCTACTCAACTTCGCGGTCAGAACGAGTTATCTGGCTAGCTAAGTGAGAGGCATGCGTTCAAAATGACCGAGGACCAACAACGATGCGGTCAACCTATAACATAGACTCCGTCCGGCCTCTATTTACAACATCCCATGGTTCTTTTATACGATAGCAAATATAGCCAACCGTGGTTCAGTGTCCACCTATATCTCACAGATGATAGGAAATTACACGACTTCTACCGAGCTAAGCATTACTAAGTAGTTATTTGATCCTAGACCTATACAGGGTTAAAGGTATATATGTTTGGACAAGGTAGTTCTATGCATCAAGTGTTTCCAAATCAATTCTTACAACCTAATGCATCAAACATAAGGGACTCAAGTGATATTTTACAAAACATAGGAGGCTTATAATGCTCCGGGGCTTGCCTTTCAAGAAAGAAGTGGGTCGGTGGTCAGGGCACTCCGAAAGTTCATCAGTGGCCAGCTCGTCTCCTTCGGGAGCAGCGGGTTGGGGTGCCTCTTGATTGTCCTCCGCCTCTTCTTTGAATTCCAGTAGGGTTACTCCTCTGAGCGATCCTATATTGAAGAGCATGAAATAAGATACCATGGATGCATAGATAATGATATGGATGATATGATATGATAAAATGCATACTCATAAGTGTCCTTAATAGCAATATATTAAAGTGATAACAAGATAAACTTTCTTTTTACTGAGTAGGAGCATATCTCTTCTCTAGTAATTAAACAAACACCTATTTAAATCATTTTTTGGACTACAAGACAACAACCACTTGTTTTGACCCTAACCGTTGCGCACTAAGTACCCAAGCGAGGACACAAAATTATGCATTTCTGTCGAGCACACCCCGAGGGAGAACTCAAAAATCCACATTTTTCCACTAGGATCATAAATGAGAGAATAAAGCTTACATCATTCTTAACCATTTCTTACATCACTTTATTACAACATTAGAGTACTTAAACAAGTTGAATGCAATAGCGAAATTAAGATAGTTTTACATGTAAAAGAGTTTATACATTTTAGGTTTACATTTTTATCTTGCAACGGAGAACAACATATGATCAGAGTTACAACAGAAATAAAGATTAATGGTGAATGAACAACATAGTGAACATTTATAAACCAGATATGATGGCAGATCATAAAACTTTTCTTCTAAAAACTTTTAGTGAGGATTATAAATAAACACTATAACCGTAGCGAGAAAGGAATCCTCTCTGAGCCCACCAGGAGGTTTCCACACACAAAAGTCCTCTACCATCCATCGGTCACCTGCAATAGGGGGAATAAAACCCTGAGTACTTGATTGTACTCAGCAAGACTTACCCAATAGGAGGAAAATAAAAGACTCCAAGGATACACAAGGCTATCTAGCTTGTTGGTTATTGCATCTGCTAGAAGCATTACTAAATATGCGTCCTTATATTCAATTTTATTAGCAGTCATCATTATTTCATTAACTAACCATTCTATGTAAGCACCTATGCTACTTTCAAGCAGGTGGTAAGCAATCAAAATCATTTTACCATCTTTCATATTCCAGTTCTTACTACAGTGCTAGACCATAGCCAAGTCGGTACCGTCTCACAGAAATGGCGATTTGTGAATCAATGTATCCCAGCTGGGTACCCCAAAACACATGCCCCACTTGTACCCCAGGCACAAATAGAACCAACTCATCCCACTCCTATCAAGGGGTCTAGGTCCCCGTCCAAACTTGGACTCCAAGCACTCAACACCTAAGACCCAGTCTCAATATGGTGCTTAGACCTCCACCTAATACCCACCCCTAAAAGCCAGTCTGGAAAGAGCCGGAACCCATGACAAGAGAGTAACAAGTCTTCCCACTCCCATAAGCAAGTATGTGCTTAGGATAATAAGTCTATGACCTGACTACCATCCACAGCAATGGATGGTCCTCAATCAACACAGGCGGGGCAAATGCAACCGGAGCCTCACTCGGTTGCCTAACCAAGCCCAAATCCAAATCCAAAGCACAGTCCCGCCCGGTCTCCTATTATCATCCATATATATTCCATGTT